AAGAAAAGCCTCTAACTGAATTCCACGGGAATCACAGTGAGACCCCCCAGAGGAAATGGTGGGCATTAAAATCACCATGTAACAGAATCGGTGGCGGTAATGACGAAACAAGGAAGGCAAAATCCGGAATAGATAATGCCCGAGAAGGAGAGAGAGATATAAAGAACAGAGCGTATACCACCTATGGAAGTGGATACGGGCTGCTGTGTAATGCAGTGAAGTATGAACAAATAGCTGATGGTACGGAATATCAGTGCGTAGAAGAAGGGCACTTTCATTAAAGGTCCCATCAGGAAAAGGATCTGAAGAATACAATAAATTATAGCCTGAGATGTGAGAAATAACAGCAGAGTGTAATTTTGGTTCCTGTAAGCAAACACCAACAGGGGCAAACTGGGAGAGTAACATCTGAAGCTCACCCCGATTACTACTGAGGCCGCGTATATTCCACTGTAAATAGGCCATGATTGGCAATGATAAAGATACTTGAAATCCGCAGGTAAGGGTTCCTATGGACTAGAGGGGTTAGAAAAGTCCACATGCGGAGGCAGTGGAAAACGTTCAAGCAGCGAAGGAACGGTGCGCTGTGAAGAAAGGAGTTGCGCAGATGGAGCAGAGGAGAGAGAAAGAGCAGAAGGTGGATCAGTGTCCATTGATGGTTTGGTCTCTGCAATATATTCAGAGATTGCTTCAAGTGTTTCGGAATTCAGAGATGTCGTATGGGAGACAATATTGGGGAATTTGGTTAGGGGGAGGATGAGTAAAGATTGGAACTGTATTGGACTGTACCAAGGTAGGGGGGGGGCGAAAGGGTGGAGGGAACTGGAGAAGCAGGCAGGGGACAGAAAGAGGCAGGAACCTGGGAGTGGCAGAAGAGGAAGAAACTTGGGAGGAAGGTACAGTACGAGGAGGAGGGTGAACCTCTACACTTGTAACTGAGCCAGTGAGAGGGGAAGAACCAGGGACAGAGACAGGGAGGGTAAAAAGGAGGTGGAAGATGGGTAGGAGGTGTTAACGAACCTTTTTTTTGGTTTTTGGAGGAGTAGAGGGACGATTGGGAGGAGGTGTCGTACGAGGTCTCGTCGATACTGAGGCTTGTGAGAGAGAACTCAAAGAAGCGAGATTAGACTGAGGCGTTGAAGTAGGGACGTCTGAGCTGAGGACAGCAAAAGGATTAGATACAGGAGTGATTATGGGAGAGGTAACCACAGAGGTGGGTGTAGAAGATGGAATCCCAGAAGTGGGGGGACGTTTTGAAACACGGAATAAGAAACACGTGGGAGTCTCCCTTGGAGGCGGAGATGAGAAACTGCCATGGCATAAGGGAGACCTTCTGTCTCTTTGAGGTAACGGATTTCCCGCTCGTTTAAATGACTTGACAAGGCGAGAGTACGAAGGGTGAGCCTCATGACAGTTAAGGCAAGAGGGGAGATCGATTGCAAGATGTATTAGAATGGTCATCGGCACCACAGACTGGGGATTCGGCGATAGATCTGCAATATTTCACTGGATGGCCAAATCGCCAGCAATTTCTACACTGTTGTGATGTAGGGATCACCTTTCGAACTTGTTTAACCGTTTTCCTGCTATTTTAAACTGAGGATGGGAGTTCTCGGCTGTCAAAAGTTAAACGAGCCACATTGCTAGGGTATCATCTCCGCCCCTGGGCAGGAAGAACGTAAGTGTCTACCTTGAGGATTTGGGAGATCTTGGGTTCCAGCTGTTCAAGAATGTCAGTGCCACATGTCTGGAAATTTTGTTGACTATGGTATGGGGCCCGAATTGACGGTACCACTACAAGAATTGAGGGAATGATGTTTTTCAAGGTGACAGGAACAGTATCGATATGGGAAAGATGAGAGAGTCATTTAGCCTGGGTAGCATTCTGTACGGTAATGATGCACGTTTCCGTCTTAAGGCATTGAAAAGAAATATCTTTCCAACATGGCGTAGGAGTGCCTTGCCAAAACTATGGTCGAAAGATATGCAGTAGAGGAAGTTGGTCATAAAGTGAAGAATTTAGTCCAAATTTTTCAGTCGCAAAACTGAGCGTGGAAGGTAGTGAAAAGGACGTGTCGATCGTTCTGAGAACAATGAGAAGGTGGGGGAAGTATCAATCAAGCAGGTAATTGTCGTTGGCGTTTAGGGGTGGGACCAGAGTTGGTCGACGTGGAACGGGTCGGCGATTTGAAATTGCCGCACCGTTTGAGGGAGAGGCCAGAAGCATAGTCAGAGGAGAGCGAAAGGTCCGATTTAAAACGAAGGAGTCAGTCGAGGCTCAGTACCTGAAGCGGGTGAGGAGACAGCCCCCGGCAATAGGTACAGAGGCATGAGGAATGTCTGAAGAGTGGTCTAAAGACGAGGCGGGGTCAGAACGGGGTGCGGTATCAAGAAGGGGCCCGGGGGTAGCAGGTTCATGGACTAGGGCTGCCATGGTTAGGTTACATCTTTCTTTTTGTTTTTAAGAAAAAAAAAAGAAAGAAAAGAAAATAAAAATAAAAAAAGAATAAAAAAAGGGGGGACCGGGGAGGGATAGTTCCTAGGAGGAATGAAAGGGCCAGAAATCTCCCTCCGCGCCCAAGAGGACCTCAGCACCGCAAGTAGCGCAGATGCAGCATGGAACCCGTGCCATACCCTACCCATCATGCTAGTAAACTAACAATCCGGGGATAGCAAACCTCACATCTGCCGAGCTACCTCGGTGGACAAAAGAGAGGGCGGCCGGATATCCGCCACAAAGCATACCTCCTTCGGCCACCACCCCCGGAATCCGAAAGGTGGCTTCCAGAGATACACTCGTCGCCCGAAAGACACCCAAAGCTACTCCGGGATACTGGAGAGGGATTGGGACATCCCCAGGCGATCCAGATTCCACGGCAAACTACACCACCGCTAAGAACCTCAACGGAATGGGATGGACCCCAGTATCCTTTCCCCTACCTAGGAACTAGCGCGCCTGTGGGAGAAATCCCAAAGGACAAAAAGAGGAAGGGCAAAAGGGAGGGGTGGGGAGGAGGAGGAGGAAAGGAAAAAGGGGAGGATGGGGAGGATGGGATAGGGGAGGGGAGATTGGGGGGTAATTAGGTTTGGTCTGAGGAAGAAGACCGATAGGTCTAATTCCTCAGATCAAGAGCCTTTTCACCACGCCAAGGAGCCCCCCTTGAAGAGGGTTAAGGCTAGAGAGTAGCAGGAGATGCCGCTGAATAGATCTGGTCACCATAATCAAGTTTCGATAAGATAAGTGTGGAATGTAGGCGAAGGAGGGTTCGACGATCAGCTCCCCATGAAAGATGAGCAACGGTTTTAAGGAGGTTCAGCCGGCTGTGGCAAGTTGCCTTCAGAGAGGTAATGTGAGGTTTCCAGGATAACCTACGATCAAAGAGGCCGCCCAGAAACTTGACTGTATCACGTTCAGGGATACGGGAGCCATAGAGGTACAAAGGATGATCAGAGATGACAGAGCGTCTAGTGAAAGTAATTTGGTGGGTTTTAGTGTTGGAAAATTTAAACCCACGTGTGGTGGCCCAATTGGAAACACGGTTGACTGCATGCTGGAGAGAAATGAAAGGACCGGAAATCTCCCTCTGCGCCCAAGAGGACCTCAGCACCGCTAGTAGCGCAGATGCAGCAAGGAACCCGTGCCATACCCTACCCTTCATGCCAGTAAACCAGCAATCCAGGATAGCAACCTCACATCTGCCGAGCTACCTCGGTGGACAAAAGAGAGGGCGGCCGGATATCCGCCACAAAGCATAACTCCTTCGGCCACCACCCCCGGAATCCGAAAGGTGGCTTCCAGAGATACACCCGTCGCCCGAAAGACACCCAAAGCTACTCCGGGATACCGGAGAGGGATCGGGACATCCCCAGGCAATCCAGATTCCACGGCAAACTACGCCACCGCCAAGAACCTCAATGGAATGGGATGGACCCCGGTATCCTTTCCCCTACCTAGGAACTAGCGCGCCTGTGGGAGAAATCCCAAAGGCCAAAAAGAGGAAGGGCAAAAGGGAGGGGTGGGGAGGAGGAGGAGGAGGAAAGGAAAAAGGGGAGGATGGGGAGGATGGGACAGGGGAGGGGAGATTGGGGGGTAATTAGGTTTGGTCTGAGGAAGAAGACCTACAGGTCTAATTCCTCAGACCAAGAGCCTCTTCACCACGCCAAGGAGCCCCCCTTGAAGAGGGCCTGGTCACAGACCGGGCCGCGGGGGGGTTGACCCCCCAGAACTCTCTCCAGGTAAACTCCAGATACATAATTGGTCCAGGGACTGGACTCCAAAGTTTAGATAGCTGAGCAAGTTACAGAGGTAATGAACTCACAATTTACAAAAGTAATGAACTCACAATTTACAAAGGTAATGAACTCCAGGTAGGTCTAGTCACAATCATGACAAGTTACAAAGGTATTTACAGATTACAGAGGTACGTAATGGGTCCAGGGACTGGGCCCCCAAAGTTCTGATAGCTGAACTAGGTACAAAGGTAATGAATCCTTTAAGAATGGTTACTTACGTTTATACATGGCTACACTCATGAACAAATTATAGAGTAATGAGCAATTCACACTTCCACACCCGGTCACAACTGTAATGAGTTATTGGTGCAAATATTGATTGTTGAGACACACACACACACACACACACACACACACACACAGTCAATCTCCCTGAGTCTTAAGTCAATAAAATTCAGTTGAAGTTCTTTTCGTATTATTGTTCTCAAACTACTACATGACAAGCCAAGATTGTAATCTACTCCCTCTTTGAAAGCATACAGCTTAGCTAGTGTCCAGGGCGTTTCAAATATCAAGGTACAAGCCACGTTAACACAAAGTAACAAGACTGTGTAGTACCTTAGTAATTACCAAGTGACAACCATCCCCCTATCCCCCTCACCATAACCCTCCCACCAGTAACAACTAGCTACTCACCCCCAAACCCCTCCACCAGCAGCTAACCCCCGACCCTCCCCCTAACGACCTTCCCCCCTCTCCACAAACAACCACTGACGATATAACCCCCCCTCCTCCAGGTCAATGGCGCCATTTAGCCATGGAGGTCAAGAATAGTGGCCCCACTAGTCACTCCCCTGCCATCCACCACACCAACACCTCCAGCTCTTCCAGTTCCATCAACCTGTGGTAACTTAAACTTGGATTACTGTAATTTCATGGTAATTTTTGATAGATCAGCTTTGAGAATATTTTAGCAATGTTGAAGGAAGCATTTTAAATACAGACTTCAAACTAATCCTTACTGCAATTCATGAATAATCTTTGTAGATACTTTTGAGGTGTTGCTGCAGGTGATGACATCTGAAGACTTGCAGCTGCCCACGACACGGACTTCACCACACAGCAGCTGCCCACGACACGGACTTCACCACACAGCAGCTGCCCACATGAGGAATAGTTTCAGCCTACAAGATTCTATAAACTTAAGATCATTAATTTAAATGTAATAAATTTAATCACACCAATGTTCAAGGAACAAAATAAATAGCAAAAATGAAAAAACCGAGACAAGCCTCGATTGCTGTATTTGTCAGCAGGAGGGCAACATTCACACAATTCGAGAGCTTTAAGCTCGGGAAAAAAAAAATTACCTACCCCAACCCCATTAACAATAGAAGTAATGAGGTGGATAGCCTCAATACTGCCATTATTAATAGTTTGAGGTATGACACATTTTTAAATTTCATTAACTTTTGTTAGGAAGCTAATACAGACAAATGTTGCGACACTGGGCAGTACAATCTTGTCAGGAGGATTCTGCGGCAATTAAACAAGTTAAAGGAAAAAGTGAGTAACATTACAACCTAGCCAAACCTACTCCTAATATCTTAGGCGCCTGTATTTTAACTGGAAAAATCTTCATAGAAAGTCAACTTGCACTACTCTCCTCTGAAATAAACCTAATTGACTTTCATCGATCTGTTCCGAGAGTTTACCGCCCCGCCCCTCCCCCATTCAAACTATTTTACATACGTGCACATTTACCCAAATAAAATTTCCCCATAGATGTATTATCCATAGGGGTTATACAGCTTGAGGAATGTTAGGCAATCAGGTTGGATCCAAGGAAGGGGAGGGTTACTTGCAACTGCTTCTATCATGATACCTTCATTAGTACAGTCCCCTTGAAGGGCATCCAAATTTAACATGAAGGTAGTTGGGTTAATGATCCTAACACTTCCACGTCCTTCGTAGCACACTAGACTAACAAAACACTATGGATTAGCTAACCAGTTGGAGAACTGCCGTAAACCAGTTTCCTAAAACATTACTGTGTTAGCCTGAATTCATAACCTACCTTACCTGCTAGTTATGGCTGGAATCCTAGGCGCAACCTGAGGACCACTACATTCAAGCCCCCACACACTACCTCTACGGGTTTTTAACTCAGCAGGTTTAATAATCCTATTCTCACTAATACCAATCTAAATCACCCCCCCCCCCAAGTATACTCATCAGATGTTAGTGAATCCTTTCTGCCGACTAACACTCCACTTCAGATCACAAGACGTTTTCATTATTTTCATCATTAGAATCTGCTGCCAGAAGTGTTAGACTTCACTATCAAACCAACTGCAATTCTGAACGCTAATATTTTATATTCATAGGAACCTGAACGCCGCTTAAATTTTCCAGAATGATGAAATTGTGTAACCTCAATGAATCAATATTTAACGTTGCACAGTTTGGCCAAAGGCATAAAATACGTAGAACACCCACCACAACCACTACCCAAAGCCCGAAACCCACCAACATCCCCACGGAAACCACGTGAAATAACAGATTCCACACAGCTACTGAAGGTCGTTGGTGGGTTCCCAGGCCCACAGTTCTACGTAATCTATGCCTTCAGGGGAGATTACTCTCCCCTGCTATATGCATTCATAATGCATATAGCAGATTCTCCAATTCTATACCTTCCCTATCTTACTTACCACCTAATTTGATAAGTTTTTATCAAAATAACTAAATAATTGTAGACCTACAAAGTGTTGTATATACTATACACCACAACTATGAAACATACTCCAGGTATAGGCCTTACTAATTTGCAGAGCAGTGGCGGCGAAAGAGGGGATGAAGAGAGGTAAAGGTAAGATCAAGGGGGTCTAGGTAAAATCAAGGGGGGTCCAGGTAAAATCAAGGGGGTCCAGGTAAAATCAAGGGGGTCCAGGTAAAATCAAGGGGTGGTCCAGGTAAAATCAAGGGGGTCCAAGTAAAATCAAGGGGGGTCTAAGTATGATCATTCTACAGTCTCTAAATATATGCTATATAACCCAATTTCAAAAATGCTCCCCCCCCCCAGACGCTCTAATACACTCGAGTCGTAAGCGCTAAACTCTCAGGGTTATACTACTGAAAATATTTTGAGGATTTCGAAGCATAAAATTACTTGGCCAGGCCCTCTACAACCTTACTGAAAATAGGAAGATGTTAATTCCACATTTCTGAGGAATTATTGATTTTTCCGGCTATAATATATTTTGCCTAAGGAAAATTTATCCCGTCATATGAAGCCAAAACTTTGGCTGCGTAGTTTTAAAAATAGGTTAGATAAACGAGTTGTTGAGTTGGACCTGTCTAACATGGGCCAATAGGCCTGCTTCAGTGCTTCTTTCTTATGTCTTAAATAACAGAAAAGGCACAATACCGTGACTGGAACGATACACAAATAACCCGCACATAAAAGAGAAGCTTACAACGACGTTTCGGTCCGACTTGGACCATTGACAAAGTCACACTTTGTGACTTTGTCAATGGTCCAAGTCGGACCGAAACGTCGTCGTAAGCTTCTCTCTTATGTCTTAATAATGGATATGCCTGATTTAATAGTATAATTATTAACCTGGTAGATTAACACATACACAATCAAGTCAATATATCTATGACATTTTTATTAGGGTATTTATACTCCCCCAGGATGCGACCCCTACCAGTAGGCCTGCTGCAGTGTTCCTCCTTATGTGAACGGTGCCAATGAATATAAAGGAACATACCCACTTGTGCCCGGGATCGAACCTGTTCTTCAGTTGGCGCCGCTACCAACTGAACCGTGATATATCACTGACATATCTCTGCTTCCTACAATCTTGCAGGATGGGTAGAGACTGCATAATATAGATATTACACTAACTAAAACTTCCTAAAATCTAATCAGTCTTCAATTCTAAGCTTTACAAACCATTTATCCATTTTTTATTTCCACCCCATTCAAGGTAACCTATAGAATACATTCCTTATTATTTCCTGACCAGAGATTTCATCTCTGGTCAGCTTATCTCCCGACCAGAGATTTCATCTCTGGTCGGGAGATAAGCTAATACTTCCCACTAAGCTACTTATATCAGTTGCTTACAATCTTTCCTATACTCTCCCCACCACCTTCCCACCTAATACAATTACTATCCGCTTCAATAACCAAACTTTAGTGCACTTATAACCTGGAAATACGTACCTTACAAGTGGGCCCTGCCCACCTCTAACGACGTCTCCAACTGCTGTATCTCCATATAACACCAAATGTTATGAGTCAGACCATTTACTAGTGTGGCTGTCTCCACCCCTCAGACTGGTCAAAGTTGCCGAGTTGATCAATGTTCCAGTATATAGCCAGGAGCAGCAGTCCTGTTACACCTGAAACAAAACATTCGCATTATAACCATGAACATTGCACACATTTAGAGACAAACATTACCATGTAATATAAACTAGTAACATTACTGCCCGATTGATATACACATTAATGTTTAACATAGTAAAGCTATCTTTTTCTTTATATATTTCTTTCACATAAACCTGATGACTAACAGTTTGTTTACGTGGAAGTCTATATCTGGATCACAAGGCTCAAGTTTCTTGGATCAAGAGACCAAGTTATTTTTCAATAATGGAAAAAAATAGCCATAACTGGATAAACCATTATGCGTTGTGTAACGCCTAGTGTGAGAGTTATTGTTTGATCAGAGGAAGGGGAGTAGCTCCAGTTCCTCGCATCAAAACCCCTCCACTAAGGTCAATCACCCCCGCCCCCCCCTCTAAGATAGTAGACCCCAAAGAAAATTAAATTGACTATTAAAATATTAATAATCTGGTGACAAAACTGGTGGTGGGGACCAGGAGCTGCAGCTCAACTCTGCTGTTGTACTGACAAATACGTCACCAGACAATACTTACATTATTTAGGTGCATTAAAAAGATGAGCCGGCGGGGCGAAAGGTGGAGGAGCAACACATCACTTCTGTACGACCACTGAATTTCAACTGACCTTCAGTGACCTTGAGGTTGGTCACTGTCCTGACCTTCACTATAACACCATCACTGATAACCTGACTAACTCTGACTACCACCACTAGATAGCGCAACTACACCACCTCTACCATCACTAGATGGCACTACTACACCCTAACTATCAGTTCTCTACACATATGCTGCTATGTATGATAATTCTATGTAACTGTATTTGTGTATACCTGAATAAACTTACTTACTTACTTACTACTCATGGTAGAGCGCTCAATCACGGGGGGATCATGGCCCACCTGGGAGGATAACTTCACTCCCAGGTGACATAGACCACATTCCTTGGATCAAGAGACCCCTCACCACCACCTTCAGGGGTCCTATATCAAGGCCACCACTCTCACCACCAGAGGCGCTGAACTCCACTATTATTGTACACTAGTACTAGGGCCGGATTTATAAGGGGGCAACTGCCCCGGGCCTCCCTACCAGAGGGGCCCCCAGACGAAGGACTTCCTTTATAACAAAATGTAATAATAAAAAAATAGTTTAATTAAAAATAGGGATTAACAAATAAAGTGTGTGGGGGGCATCAGAAAATAGAAAGTGTGCCCCCCACCCCCCTCTCCTTTGAATAACGTGACTTAACTAGTATTTCTGGTTAGCGTCAGTTTAGAGGTAAATGACCAGACAATGAGGTCAGAGCTGGACAGGGAGCACACGCACCCGCGCGTGTGTATGTGTACTCACCTATTTGTGGTTGCAGGGGTTGAGTCATAGCTCCTGGCCCTGCCTCTTCGCTGATTGCTACTAGGTCCTCTTTCTCCCTGCCCCATGAGCTTTATCATACCTCGCCTTAAAACTATGTATGGTTCCCTCCTCCACTACGTCACTTTCTAGGCTATTCCACGGCCTGACTACTCTATGACTGAAGAAATACTTCCTAACATCCCTTTGATTCATCTGAGTCTTCAGCTTCCAATTGTGACCTCTTGTGTCTGTGTCCCTTCTCTGGAACATCCCGTCTTTGTCCACCTTCTCTATTCCGCGCAGTATTTTATATGTCGTTATCATGTCTCCCCTGACCCTCCTGTCCTCCAGTGTCGTCAGGCCAATTTCCCTCAACCTTTCTTCGTAGGACAATCCCCGTAGCTCTGGGACTAGTCTTGTTGCAAACCTTTGCACTTTCTCTAATTTCTTGACGTGCTTGACAGTTACTAAAAACAACAGACATAGCCCCACTCCACAAAGGGGGTAGTAAAGCAACAGCAAAGAACTACAGACCAATAGCACTAACATCCCATATCATAAAAATCTTTGAAAGGGTCCTAAGAAGCAAGATAACCACCCATCTAGAAACCCATTAGTTACACAACCCAGGGCAACATAGGTTTAGAACAGGTCGCTCCTGTCTGTCTCAACTATTGGATCACTACGACAAGGTCCTAAATGCACTAGAAGACAAAAAGAATGCAGATGTAATATATACAGACTTTGCAAAAGCCTTCGACAAGTGTGACCATGGCGTAATAGCGCACAAAATGCGTGCTAAAGGAATAACAGGAAAGTCGGTCGATGGATCTATAATTTCCTCACTAACAGAACACAGAGAGTAGTCGTCAACAGAGTAAAGTCCGAGGCAGCTACGGTGAAAAGCTCTGTTCCACAAGGCACAGTTTCGCTCCCACCTTGTTCCTCATCCTCATATCCGACATAGACAAAGATGTCAGCCACAGCACCGTGTCTTCCTTTGCAGATGACACCCGAATCTGCATGACAGTGTCTTCCATTGCAGACACTGCAAGGCTCCAGGCGGACATCAACCAAATCTTTCAGTGGGCTGCAGAAAACAATATGAAGTTCAACGATGAGAAATTTCAATTACTCAGATATGGTAAACATGAGGAAATTAAATCTTCATCAGAGTACAAAACAAATTCTGGCCACAAAATAGAGCGAAACACCAACGTCAAAGACCTGGGAGTGATCATGTCGGAGGATCTCACCTTCAAGGACCATAACATTGTATCAATCGCATCTGCTAGAAAAATGACAGGATGGATAATGAGAACCTTCAAAACTAGGGAGGCCAAGCCCATGATGACACTCTTCAGGTCACTTGTTCTATCTAGGCTGGAATATTGCTGCACACTAACAGCACCTTTCAAGGCAGGTGAAATTGCCGACCTAGAAAATGTACAGAGAACTTTCACGGCGCGCATAACGGAGATAAAACACCTCAGTTACTGGGAGCGCTTGAGGTTCCTAAACCTGTATTCCCTGGAACGCAGGAGGGAGAGATACATGATTATATACACCTGGAAAATCCTAGAGGGACTAGTACCGAACTTGCACACGAAAATCACTCACTACGAAAGCAAAAGACTTGGCAGACGATGCACCATCCCCCCAATGAAAAGCAGGGGTGTCACTAGCACGTTAAGAGACCATACAATAAGTGTCAGGGGCCCGAGACTGTTCAACTGCCTCCCAGCACACATAAGGGGGATTACCAACAGACCCCTGGCAGTCTTCAAGCTGGCACTGGACAAGCACCTAAAGTCAGTTCCTGATCAGCCGGGCTGTGGCTCGTACGTTGGTTTGCGTGCAGCCAGCAGCAACAGCCTGGTTGATCAGGCTCTGATCCACCAGGAGGCCTGGTCACAGACCGGGCCGAGGGGACGTTGACCCCCGGAACTCTCTCCAGGTAAACTCCAGGTAAACTCCAGGTGTGGATTCCAGACTGGTGTTGCATACTCCAGTATGGGCCTGACGTAAATGGTATACAGTCTTGAACGAATCCTTACTGAGGTATCGGAACGCTATCCGTAGGTTTGCCAGACGCCCGTATGCTGCAGCAGTTATCTGATTGATGTGCGCCTCAGGAGATATGCTCGGTGTTATACTCACCCCCAGATCTTTTTCCTTGAGTGAGGTTTGCAGTCTTTGGCCATCTAAACTATATTGTGTCTGCGGTCTTCTTTGCCCTTGCCCAATCTTCATGACTTTGCATTTGGCAGGGTTTAACTCAAGGAGCCAGTTGCTGGACCAGGCTTGTCGCCTGTCCAGGTCTCTTTGTAGTCCTGCCTGATCCTCATCCGATTTGATTCTTCTCATTAACTTCGCATCATTTGCAAACAAGGACACTTCTGAGTCTATCCCTTCCGTTATGTCATTCACATATACCAAGAACAGCACAGGTCGTAGGACTGACCCCTGTGGAACCCCGCTTGTCACAGGAGCCCACTCTGGCACCTCGTCACGTACCATGACTCGTTGTTGCCTCCCTGTAAGGTATTCTCTCATCCATTGCAGTGCCTTTCCTGTTATGTGTGCCTGATCCTCTAGCTTTTGCAGTAACCTCTTGTGAGGAACTGTGTCGAAGGCTTTCTTGCAGTCCAAAAAAATGCAGTCGATCCACCCCTCTCTCTCTTGTCTTACTTCTGTCACCTTGTCATAAAACTCCAGTAGGTTTGTGACACAGGATTTTCCTTCCCTGAAACCGTGCTGGTTGTCAATTATACACTTGTTTCTTTCCAGGTGCTCCACCACTCTCCTCCTGATGATCTTCTCCATGACTTTGCATACTATACACGTTAGTGATACAGGTCTGTAGTTTAGTGCCTCATGTCTGTCTCCCTTTTTAAAAATTGGGACTACATTTGCCATCTTCCATACCTCAGGGAGTTGCCCAGTTTCAATTGATGTGTCGAAGATCTTTGTTAATGGCACACACAGTATCTCTGCTCCTTCTTTAAGGACCCATGGAGAGATGTAGTCTGGTCCCACCGCCTTTGAGGTGTCAAGTTCGCATAGCAGCTTCTTCACCTCCTCCTTGGTTATATGTACCTCATCCAGCACTTGCTGGTGTACCCTCCTGTTCTGATTTCCTGGAGTCCTACTGGTTTCCACTGTAAATACTTCTTTAAATCTCGTGTTGAGCTCCTGACATACCTCTCGGTCATTTCTTGTGAACTCCCCATCACCCTTCCTCAGTCTGATTACCTGGTCCTTGACTGTTGTTTTCCTCCTGATGTAGCTATACAACAGCTTCGGGTCAGACTTGGCTTTCGATGCTATGTCATTTTCATATTGTTGCTGAGCCTCCCTTCTTGTCTGTGCACATTCGTTTCTGGCTCTTCGGCTAATCTCTTTGTTTTCCTGAGTTCTCTGTCTTCTGTACCTTTTCCATTCTCTAGTACACTTAGTTTTTGCCTCCCTACACCTTTGGGTGAACCAAGAACTCGTTCTGTTCTTCCCATTATTTCTGTTTCCCTTGGGAACAAACCTCTCCTCTGCCTCCTTGCATTTTGTTGCCAAATAGTCCATCATTTCTTGTACTGGTTTTCCTGTCAGTTCCCTCTCCCACTGAATGTCTTGCAGGAAGTTCCTCATGCCTGAGTAGTTCCCCCTTTTGTAGTTTGGTTTTTCCCAACCTATTCCTGTTACTATCTCCACTTGAAGCTCAACTATGTAGTCGAAGCACATAACCACATGATCACTAGCTCCCAGGGGCCTTTCATACATGATATCCTCGATGTCTGAACTACTCAAGGTGAATACAAGGTCCAGTCTTGCTGGTTCATTCTCTCTTCTCTCTCTGGTAGTGTGTCTAACATGTTGATGCATGAGGTTTTCCAGTACCACATCCATCATCTGGCTCTCCATGTTTCGGGACCCCCATGGGGCTCCAGGTTTTCCCAGTCAATCTCCTTGTGATTGAAATCACCCATAACCAGTAACTTTGCTCCCCCATGTGTGCTCTCCTGGCCACCTCGGCTAGTGTGTCGACCATTGCTCTGTTGCTCTCATCGTATTCTTCTCTTGGCCTCCTGCAGTTCTGTGGTGGGTTGTGCATTACTGCAATTATCACCTTATGTCCCTCAGACTGGATTGTTCCTACTAAGTAGTCCCTTTCGCCCGTGCCATCCATTCCTTTCATTTTCTCAAAACCCCACTGGTTTTTAATGAGCAGTGCAGCTCCTCCTCCCCCTCTCCTCCCTCTGTCTTTCCTGAGTATTTGATATCCGGATGGAAAGATTGAATGTTATT